ATATCCAACCGTTCCCCGTTATTCTACAGCAGTTTGCATCATCTCTCAGGTGTTTACTGTCTGAGAACATCTTTACTAAACTAGCTTTCGACTCTTTAGCGACTGAGCTTTAATAGAACTACAAACATGGCGGCTCTGACTGTTCTTCACTTCATACGGCGTCCACAAATTAAAATCAAGAATATTATCAATGTGTTGTGTTTTCTGTTTAAACTGAAATTACAGATTCTGTTATTTTAATATCAGTTAAATGTAATCTGTTGATTTCAAGTGAGTAAGTAAGTAGTTTTAAGGCATTTAACTTTTAATCTTCAACTGACTGCGTTTTGATGAACATCTGTTGACATTAACGTTATTGATTTAGTTGCAAAATCAAACACCACAGTGAGAAGAAGAGTGCACTTACACCCTAAACTAAAACTAATAGAGGAATAAAAAGAACCGAAATAGACAATTTTGATCGTTAATTGACAAATTGACAATCGACTAAAATTTCATGATGGTGACAGCCCTGGAAACAAGGCGGCCATGTTTGTAGTTCTGTATCTGAAAAGCTGGATTTAATGTTTGTTTGGTCCCTGGCAGACAGTAAAACATCTGTGAGATCACGAAATTCTCAGCTGCAGGAAGAAAGAAAAGAAGTAAGAAAATAAGATATTACAGCCAGTTTGTGTCTCTGATGTATCCACATACACGCAGGTAAAGTGAGTTAACCGACAACGTTTAATAAGGCCCGGATGTTTGTTTAAAACCACTGATGGTTGTAAAGTAAGTGTTTTCAGATGTGCAACATGTTAAAATCTTTTTTTTTTTTTTTTTATCATTCAGCGGAGGAGATAGGTTTAGTTTTAATTTTTTTTTGGAGTCCCTGGAGATTCTACAAATAACTCAGACTGAAAGTTTAGGAGCAGTGAGACGTTTCGGACCTTTTAAGGCTCAAACTTGGAGTCGAGAAGCTGCAGGACATTTGTGAGGAGTGAATCAAACTGTAAGCAGACGTGACAAACTACAGATTAACCGAATGTGGATCTGCTTTGTCTCCAGAAACAGCGACAGCAACAGTAACAGCAGCTAATTTTAAACCTCCAAACTCCTTTTAAATCCTGATACACTTTGAGCATTATTTCATTCACCAGATTCTGGATTAGACTTGAAGATGCTGCATTTAAAACATCAGTCTTCGAGTTTCTGTTCTAGAGTTTAAACACATGATGCACTACAGGTTTGTAAAGGCTCATTTCAGACTGAGTATATTTCCTTGGGAGAACATTTTGGCCTTATTGTAGAAAAAAAGTTGGTAAATTGATCATTTTTAGATACTGGGCTTACAACTCATTTTTCTGAAATCTGTCTCATCCATGACAGAACAGATAACTTCTATTTTAATCATAATACAGCTGTCAGAACCGACTGTGCTGCATTTATTGTTTCACTTCTGCTACGTATTTGTACCTGCAGGCTCATGTGTTATTTTCTGTTTTATACAAGTAATTACTCTCACTGTGTTTTGGGCTCTAAACTTTGCTAAAATTCAGGTGACACTTTATCTGAACAGCTTGTGTGTCGACACAGATGGAGAACTCGCTGCTGCTCCATCCTCTGGTCCTTGAAGTCCATCCACTAGTGCTTGTAGTCCGCCATGTGGTTCTTGTAGTCCATCCTCTGGTCCTTGTAGTCCATCCATTGGTCCTTGTAATTCATAATCTGGTTCTTGTAGTACATCCATTGCTCCTTGTAGTCCAACATGTGGTCCTTGTAGTCCCTCATGTGGTCCTTTTAGTCCATCCATTGGTCCTTGTAATCCATCAATTGGTCCTTGAAGTCCATAATCTGGTCCTTGTAGTCCATAATCTTGTCCCTGTGATCCATCTGTGGTTTTGGTGGTTTGACCAGTGGTCACTGTTGCTATTAACTGTAGGAGCTGTAGTAAAAATCAACTGGACTTCTCTTGTAGGTCCTTGAAAACGTTTCACTTCTCATCCAAGAGGCTTCTTCAGGTCTAACTGATTAATGGGGAGTTACAGAATTTATAGTCCCTCCAGCTCACATGGCTCATGGCTCATTAAGGGCCCAGGACTCACATGCCTGAAGAAAAGTCCAGTTGAATTCTACTGAAGCTCCTACGATTACCATGACCTGGATGACGAAGAATCCCACATGTTGCCATTAATGCTTTGTTTTCGTTTAGAAAACTACCACCACACAGACTTCATTACATTTCAGTTATATTCTGTTGTGCATGAGGCCCAAATTGTATCGATACTTGCAGTAAAAGGCAGTAAGTATTAGGGCTGCAACTATCAATTATTTTCAATGACAAACAACTTGTCATTACTTTCTCGATTTATTGATCAGTTGTTTGGTCTCTGAAAGTGGATCAGTGTTTATTGATAAAGATATTCTGTTTACTGTCATAGAGGAGGAAACAAACCAGAACATATTTACATGCAAGACGCTGCAATGACAGAATTTAGACTGCTTTAATAAAAAATTACTCAAACTGATGAATCCATAATTAGAATCGCTGATTCATTTAATAATTGACCTCTGTTCTCTGAAAGCTCTGATTGGGATTTGTGGATGGTAAAATCCTGAATCATGTCTTAAGTCTTTCTTGATTTTGTCCAGTTGAGTCTGTAGCCAATAAGTCAGCGTTTACACGGACTGAAGTTCAGGCAAGAAGGATGTCCAAAGAGTTTTGTTTCCTGAATGCCTGTCTCATCCTCAGAGCTTAAAGCATCATCGTTAAAACTAACATATCACTGTATATTCTGAAATCAACCTGAACATCTGAGAGCTGTGTATAGCGTATGATTTAAAATGTAAGACTAATGTTACAAATTTTACTATAAACTAAATAAAGAAACTCATTCTGCAACACTCTTACCAGTAACACTCTTTAATGTCGGCCATTTCTGCTGTGATTCCTTCAAACATTAAATTCAAGTCTCAACAATCGTGTTTTTTTTCATCACCCGCTTTGTAAAAAATAGCACCTGTTCTGGAGAAAATACAAAAAGAATCTGGAATAAAAGTTAAACAGCTGTGAAGAGTGTCGGCCGTGTGGAGTCCAGCAGCAGAAAGCTGAGCTGTGAGGGGATCAAACATGCATGTCCAGGGTAGAAACAAAGACGGAGGCGACTCTTCCTGCAGATGAATGACTGGAAGCTCCTCAGTGAGCAGCAGCGGATGGAACAGTTTCCCTGAAGGCAGTAAAGAGTGTAACTGTCCGCCACAGCCAGCTGCACTTACAGAGTTCGTACAGTCACCTCGACCCTTTCCCTTGAAGACGCGTGTTTCCTGAAGTTTTCCTGATACATTATGAGCGTACAGCTGCGGTTTCTGTTCCTCCTCCTCCTCCTCCTCCTCACCGACTCTTCGTCAGACACAGGTTCTCGCACTCCTCCTGCGTCTTGAAGCGGTTCTCGTTGCCGCCACAGCCGCCGTACCAGAACCGAGCGCATTCGTTCTGCTCGGTGTCGAAGAACCACATCATGCTGTAGTTCTGGCAGCTGCCCTGGTCCTGGCTGAGGAAGCAGGCGTCTGGACAGAGACACAGTGAGCAGAAAGGTGAAGATACGATTAAATCACTTCTAAACAGGTGGTGAATGCGGGTTTTCTGTAAACATCTTCAAAATCAGCTGAAGCACAGAACCTCGGCTAGGAGTGGACATGGATTTAGGTGAATACAAGGTCTCCGAAATGCTTCAGTGTTCATAAAATGGAGCAGCTGGAACAAAAATCTATAAGGCAAGTCTATCAGTCTTAAGCTGCAGCTGTTATTGTCTGTTTATTCCACATTTAGTTTGTACAATGACACTAAAGTTTCACTGGTCAATATAATATTAAAAGGAATACTAGATGCAAAATGGCCACAACGGGATGCAAACCACTGAAGAAATCCAAAATCGACACAAACACATGCTCACAGAAATAAAAGCAAAATGAAAGAGGCACAAAATTACTAGAAACTAAAAGACAGAAAGAGAGGCCATAACAATGCAAACAGAAAACCTCGAGCCACAAAACACTGACAAAGACGTACAAAAAGAGCATAAAGAGACGTAAATCTGAACTGAAAGCTGCTGTTTAGACCGGGGCAGACAGCTACCAGACTGTAGCAGCTCTGATGAAGTAACAGAGCGGTGTTTGAAGGTCAGGTAGCAGAAGTTACTGAGAACACCTGAATAGTTCACCTGTTCATGTCAATGCAGCTGGAACTGATTCTGCTGTCAGTGCTAGGCTAATGCTAACACTGAGAGGTTAGCTATGCCTGCAGCGTAACTAACTTTCTGTTCTAACTGACAGACACATCTCTCTACCGGAGAAACAACCTGCAAAAACTGAACAAGAAGCACAGCGATCAACACAAATCAGGACATTAGCTGCTTTCACAGTAGCTAAGG